AAGGAAGGTTGGGCAATCCTACTTCCGTAGTGATACTGCCTCAGAAACCCAAGGAGGGGTCGCTATGAGTCGGGGCCGACTCGACGGCACATAACACCAACAACAACATTACTTTCTTTGAAGTCTGTGCAAGTGCAACCCTAATATATCATGATTACCCACTGCTTCAGAAGGAAGACCAGGTGATCTACTTCTGTAAAGATTTACTGCCTTGGAAACTCAGTGAGGGTCGCTATGAGTGTGTAAAATGGTAGCTCATTTAAAGCTGACTATGCTTTACCTTTCTCATCATAGTAAATGGAGATGTCTCCTGTTGATGTGTATACAATCTCATCAATGTCAGCAGCAAGGGCGTTTTTATGGTTTTCAGGCAGTGAGATAACCTTTTCTTTCAATATATGCAGCACCTAAGTTTGGAAAAAGCTAACCATTAGTTTACCAGTTCGATATTTAAAAGCTTTTGATGAAGTGGTTTTTGTCATGGAATGAATTTTCAAATTTATTACTGTGTTTACTCATCTTCAAATGCATGGCTGACAGATATTTCCTCAAAAGCAAGGGCATTAAATCATCTAATTATTCAACTAGATAATTCCTAACATTCTATATAAGAGCAAATGAAAGACATCGTATTTACTTATTTATACCTTAAATTGCAGGGCTCATTCCATGCTTTTATATGACTGAAGATATTCATAAGAATAGATACAGGAATACTAGTTTGGCCGATGGTTATACACACTATTGTTAAGCACAGATAATGTGTATCATTCTACCACAATGGAAGAATATATTGATCTTAAAGAAAATTTAAAAGTATACTTTACCTCTTTGGCCACAAGTTCTTCCAAAAGATCAAATTTACACTGTGACAGCAATTTTGATACATGGGCAAAAGCCTTAAAGAAAAAAAAAAATAGTGTGAGGTGGTGATTATTATTTCAAAATACCATGCAAAATACCATACAATGGACAATGCTCTTATTTAAATGGCTGCTAAGTGTAAGAAGTGTAAAGAGCTCTGGTGGCACAGAACCTAAGGCATTTGACCGCTAACCAAAAGGTTGGTGGTTCAAACCCCCTAGCTGCTCCATGAAAGGAAGATGAAGCAAACTATTTCTGTAATGATTTACCTGGGTTTAAGTGTAAGAAAGACTTTTATGATAAACAATGTCAAACACTATCACAACAATGTCACACATGACTTCTTCAAAGTTGGTTGAAGTCTCTCTTCTCCTACGATCTTCCCACATCTATAGTAGTTACTGAGCAAACTACTAATTAAGTATTCACTCTCAGCACCTGGGAAACAATAGTGTGTTAATACATACACACTATGTACCTCAATGGGAGCTCTGGTAGTGTAGTGCCTAAGGCACCTGACTGCTAACCAGAAGGCTGGAGGTTCAAATCCACCAGCCACTCTTCGGAAGGAAGGTTGGGCAATCTACTTCTGTAGTGATACCACCTCGGAAACCCAAGGAGGGGTTGCTATGAGTTGGGTCTGACTTGATGGCACATAATAACAACAACAGGTACCTCAATAAACATCCTCCTATGTATTTCCTTTTAGAATTATGACAAAGAAAACAAGAGCTTTGACTCTGTCATATGGCATCCATCTTAATTGTGCATAGATAGTAGCTGGGAAGCAGCCAGCACAGCCTCAATTATACTGGGAATCAGAAATGGGTTCCAGTCTGAACCTCACTAAGATAGCTAAGGAGGAAGGAGGAAAAAATATTTCACACAGGCTAAAGCACTGGATCTCAACTACGAAGTATCAGGCTTCTATACTAAAATTAAATAAAAAACAAAAACAACACACACAACTGTAATCCTCCATATTCCTGGCAATGAGAAATAAAACTATGAATAACTCTGTCATTGAGGAGCTTCTGGTCCACACAGGGAGAGAGACAATAAACTGACATGTTCAAGAATTATAACGGGAAGAGCAGGCTGGTACGAGAGCATCTTGAAGTTACCTAACCCAATCTAGTGGGATGAGAGAGGGCTCCCTAAAAAAAGGTAACATCTAAACTGAAACCTGAAGAGCTGACAAGAGGAAAGGATGCAAAGGCACGCAGAGGACACTGCATGATGGAGCTGAATTTTTGAGAAAATATACATATGCAAATAGATTCAAAGGCCCCTTAAAAACACTTTGAGAACCTCAGGGTTCAGAAACATTCTGTGTTCTGGTAAGCCTTCAAGTGTAGAAGACAGATGATAATTTGGGCAATGTAAACAAAGACCGTAACTATCACGCCTAAACTCATCTATTAGACTGTGAAGCTTAGTTTGTGAAGCTAACAACAACAAAAAAACACACTGCCATCAAGTCAATTCTGATTCATAGCAACCCCCATTGGGTTTCCCCAGTCTTGCTTCCGAGGAGTGGCTGGTGCGTTTGAACTACCAACCTTGTGTTCAGCGGTCAGATGCCTTAAGCACTGCATCGCCAGAGCTCCTTTGTGAGGCTACCAAAAAAAAAACAAAACCCCAAACTCACTGCTGTTGAGTCCACTCTGACTCATAGTGACCCCTCCCTTGGGTTTCCAAGGCAGTGTCACTGTGAAGTAGACTGTCGATCTACCTTCCAAGGAGTGGCTGGTGGGTTAGAACCATCAGCCTTCTGGTTAGTTGTGAGGCTAAGCAGAGCAAATTATCTTATAATGAATGAGGAATCATTAGGAGGCTCCTCTGACAAGGCCTTGATGACACAGGAGAGTGGGAAAATATGCAAGTAAGATATGGGAAAGCAAACACTATATGATTACTGTGGTTTGATGATAGTAATAGGGAAGATACCATATCATATGCATATATCAATGGAAAGCATGGTCTTAAGGCTGGGTAGCATAGTGCCTAAGGCACTTGACTGCTAACCAGAACTCCTTGGAAGGAAGGTTGGGCAATCTACTTCCATAGTGATACTGCCTCGGAAACGCAAGGAGGGTTCGCTAAGTCGGGTCCGACTCGACGGCACATAACAACAACAACAACAACAGGGCTATGTAAGGCTTGTATAGCACCGGACCACCTATTCACATGGCTCACATGATGAATAAAAGTTTGCTTACATCATATTAACCATCTCAATTTCACTGACTCTGCAGGACTAATAACCTGTGTGGTGGGTGTAGGCACCTCAGGACTTACTAATTACGCGTCTTTGAGTTAAGTGTTGCACGCTTCTGGAACTTGGATTCATCAGCTGTAAAGTATTAGATCTGCATAATGAGCCCTAAGATACCTTTCTAGTCTGTTCTATGATTGAAAAAAAAAATCTTAATGAACATGTCTAAATGATCTTCACAACCCATAATACATGTTACTGCTGGGAAAGTACCTAAGGAGAAAGGGGAAGTGGAGGCCACTCAGAGTAGATAAACTAGCTGAGAGTTTTACCCTAGACTATTTCCATACCAAGGAGTGCTCTGGTGGTGCAGTGGTTAAAGCCGTTGGCTGCTAACTAACAGGTCACAGTTTGAACCCACCAGCCACTCTGATGAAGGAAGATGAGTCAATCTACTTCCACAAAGATTTATAGCCTTGGAAACCCTACGCTGCAGTTCTACTCTGTCCCATAGGGTAGCTATGAGTCAGAAGTGACTAGATGGCAGTGGGTTATTCAGTGAGACTAAATAAATAGACACTAGAGTTATACCCATGCAAAGGAATGTACACTTACATCATAAGACCTAACAATGAGGTTTATTGGCTGTGTCCTTTTACATCTTAAAAGAACTGATTTGTTTGACTGGAATAGTATGTCCAGTAGTAAATAGTTTGAGGGGATTGCTAAATTATCTGTTAGATATTGTCTCTGGAAGTCAAAATGGTTATTGAAATGTTAACTTAGCTAGGACAAAATGGCATATAGACTGGCTGATGGAAGAATTGGAGGTACTGCTTCACAGCAAGGAGAAAGGTTGAAAACTAAGACCAGAAAGTGACTCAGCTCCTCTGTACATGTGTATTAGGAGAAAAATAGGGGCTAAAGACTGATACCTGTCCATGGTGAAGTGATGATTTCCTTTCTTTACTGGCACATGCATAAGCTGCGATAATTATATATGTGTTTTGACAGGTAGGCAAGTCATCAGTGGCCACTGTGGAAAATGCTAAGATCATGCCAATTTAGCATAGCCAAAAGGTTTTGAGAACTGACATGAGCAGAGAGATTCACCCCTTAATTAGGATGCTGAGCTAGGCATATCAACCAAGTTTGTCCTTTGCTTTTTTTTTTTTTTCCCCCCAAGTAACTACATAAAACCATCAAGAGATGATTCAGGGAATCAGGAAGAAGTTAATACGGACACTGACAATATAAAGTTTGAAATATTTAATTCATAACTGATAGCCATGAGTAAATATAAATGTCTATGATTACAGGCTGAAATAATTAGGAGTAAAATATAATCAATACCAGTAAACAACTGATATGTTTCACAATTACACTATGGCATAATTTTAAGGTACATGGAGGTAGAAAATAAATTATGATTTTTATTATTTATCAGGGAGCTCTGGTAGCATACTGCCTAAGGCACGTGACTGCTAATCATAAGGCTGGCGGTTCAAACCCACCACGCGCTCCTTGGAAGGCAGATTGGGCAGTCTACTTCTATAGTGATACTGCCTCGGAAACCCAAGGAGAGGTCTCTATGAGTTGGGTCAGACCTGATGGCACATAACAACATTGTTTATCAATAAGTAGGTCTAATGGTGTAGTGGTTAAGGCAGTTGGCTGCTAACCAAAAGGTCGGTAGTTTGACTACACCAGCTGCTCTGTGGACGAAAGATGGGGCAGTCTGCTTCTGTAAAGATTTATAGCCTTAGAAACTCACTGGGGTTTGTTATGAGTCAAAATCGACTCAATGGCAGTGAGTTTTTTTTTTTGTTTGTTTGTTTACTATCAATTGTTTTTAAATGTTTGAGGATGTCCAACTTTCTAAGAGAGTCAAAAGACACTGAAAAATGCACATAAATATGAAATCCTGCAATTTCAGAACCTGACGTGATCGTTAAGTGACAAGGGTAAGGCAAGGTATTATCAGCCATTCGGAAAGAGAAAAATAACTTCGAAAGTCAGAACTATGAATCATTAAAGGATAAGTTGATCCCACTATGCAAGGGACTTTTATTTTATCAGGGATCAGGTACCAGAAAACGAATCCCACTGCTATCCAGTCAATTCTGACTAGAAGCGACCCCCACTGGGATTCCACAGCTGTAAATCTTTATGGAAGTCGATGGCCCCATTTTCCTCCCATGAAGCAGCTGGTGATTTTCAACTGTACACCTTCTGGTTAGCAGCCAAATGCCTTACCCACTGCACCACCAGAGTGCCTTTATCAGGGGCCAGGTAGACCTGACAAATTTTGGAAAGGAGAAAACTGTCTATCTCCGGGTTATTCTGTGAGGCCATGTGATGGAGAAGGGGAGAGGCTCTGCCAAACAGCTGACAGGAACTTTGTGCCAAGGATTATATTATGGCACCTTAGAAATACTGTCATTTATCCTTCACAGTAATCGTATCCACTCATTCATTTATTCAACAGGCACTTACCGAGTGCCTACTCTGTGGTAGGCACTGTTCCAAAAGGATGTTATCTTCCTCATCTAGCGGATTGGGAAAATCACCCGCAAAAAAGATAAAGACTATATAGCTTTTAAATGGAGAAATAGGCTCTACTCACTCACGAAGTCTCTGTCAGGGAATGAAAAGGTAATCTGAGGAGTTTACCTTGGTCCCTCAACGGAGCCCCTACTGCGCAACTATGCAAACCCATGCAGAAGCTTCCTTTAAGTTAAGAAGCGGACGGAGGGCTGTCTCTGTTTGAGAGACTACTCAAGTTTACTAACTTGGGACTCACTATGGACACGTCACCACTTCTCTGTGTAATTGAGTGCACGCGGGAAGGGCAGGGCAATCAGGGAAATACACAAACCTGCTTCGCCCCCTCAGTGAACTCTGCGATGCTGAACTCTTGGTCGAAATAAGCCCAGATAAGGAAGGCGTAAATTCGAGTCCGGACCCAGTTGATAGGGTTGGAGACTCCCAGGATGATCATTTTGGTTTTCTGGCGCGGTTGGGGCTGCTCCTCGGTGCTGTAGCTGCGCCGAGGGCGGGCAGGCAAAGAGGTGAGGGCTGCGGGGAACACCAGAGGATTAAGTAGGCGGCACCTGGGGCGCCGAACAGGGAGCGCGTCTTCCCGACCTCCGCGAGGAAACAGGGCCACTCCCGAGCCGAGGCGGCGGCGACAGGAACTGCAGAGTACAGTCAACGGTGGCCTCACCTCGGCCGCACCAGGAGTCCGCAGTCGGGCGGCCCCGCCGGATAGCGGCCGGGAGAACAGCAAACGGGAAAGCAAGCGAGCGACCAGCGCCATTTTTGTGACCTTTCACCCCTGTGCTTGCCAGTGCCTTACCGAAAGAAAGTCGGTGGGAAACCACCTTAACACTGTTGCGGGGGAGGTTGAAGGGACTGGAAGGTAAAGCTGACCTGCTGTTGCCAACTGATGAGCCCTCCCAATTCTCGCTTTCTTGGCATACATCCATAACATACCGAGATCTTTGGGTCCCCTCACACCCCGGTTGGAACCAGCCACTCTCTCGAGTCTGCAGGCCTCCCGGAACTTTACGCTCTCGGCCGAGTTTCCGGACGGAACATGTTGAAAACGAGATTCCTAAGCCAGGAAGGGGGCGGGCTTAAAGAACCATGGCTGGGTTGTGCCTACCTGTACCCCGGCTTGAAGGAGTCTCGCGGGAGCGGTTCACACAGCATCTATACCCGCAGGTGAGGCCTTCACGCGAGCCTAAGCGGCAAGAATCCAGGAGAGACCTCCGGACGGCTCCGAACTGATCTGGAACCGGGCGTGTAGGGAGGAAGCGGCGGGCGGCATAAAGTGGTTGGTGGGCTAGTGGCCAACGGAGAAGGTTCTTAGGGGTTGTGGGGTGTTAATCTATTGAATTTTCCAAAAAAAGAAAAAAGCTTCAAATTTCTGGGGAGCATCCTTGACTGCAGTGTATTGAGTGCAAGAGATATTTTTGTCCAAGCTCTTTATTCGCTGAGAAGAGCGGCTGTGCAAAAAAAAAAAAAATCTCACTGCCATTGAGTTCCGACTTCGAGTGACCCTATAGGACAGAGTAGAACTGCCCCATAGGTTTTTCAAGGCTGTAATCTTTATGGAAGGAGCTCAGGTGGCGTGGTGGGTAAGGATTTGGCTGCCAACCAGAAGGTCGGTGGTTCAAACCCACCAGCTGCTCCATGTGGATGCGGCAGTCAATTTTCGTAAAGACTTACAGGTTTGGAAACCAAAAGGAGGTCGCTGTAAGTCGGAATTGACTTGGTGGCAGTGGTTGTGGTTTAATCTGTGTGGAAGAGATTGCTACATCTTTCTCCCGTGGAGCAACCGGTGGGTTCAAACCATTGACTTTTTGTTATCGGCTGAAAGCTTTAACCGTTGTGCCACAAGAGCTCCTGGCCTCAGCCCTCAGGTGCAGACTCCTAGTTAGAATCTCCGCTACCGTTGCCGTGGCAACGAAGGCCGGCGGCTTCTGCGTCCCGGGCAGCGACTCTTTTCTGCTGCTGGATGTATTGGAGTTTAGAGCAGGATTCCTGGTGGGAATGGCATCTGCTATTCTACTCCAAGTTAATGGATTTGGATTTTTCAGTCCACTGAGCCAACAACATATCCCCAGGAAACGTCTTCTTGTCTTGAATTCTCATTATCGGGGTTCTAGTCGGGGCCGACTCGACGGCACATAACAACAACAACAACAACAACAAGTTCAGACGTTGGAGTTCTTTAGCTGTGTAACTTACATTTTAGGTTTTTAAAAAGAGACAAAAACATTAAGAGAGAAAACATATTGCAGTGCTTTTGCAAAAGAGTCTGGGATTTAGAATTACCGAAAATAAGGATTCTAGCAGTTATTTAAAAGAAAAAAATGCACAAGGCTACAGTTAGTCTCTTTATGATGTGTGTGTGTGGGGGGGGACCACTCATTTTCTTACCTGATAGTTACTTCTCTAAGGGTGTCGCTGATCTACTGTTCTGACTCTTTCCAGAGTGGAGCATGAAGTTTCTTTTGGGCTTTAGGAACCTACAGGAGAGAATTCAAGCCTTCTTACATTTTGGAAACTAGTGCTAGATGGACTATTCTTGTTCTCCCACAGTCTTCCTTCCTAAATATATCTCATGAAGGGCATTAAAAGCCTTGTATATGAAGATAAAAATGGTGGGGGGGACCCAAAAACGTGATTTAAAAAACAACAGAAAAGCTAAATCAATTACTCACAAAAGAAATATAAAGTAAGCTATAAATATATGAAGATATGTTCACCTTCATAACAGAAATGCAAATTAAAACTGCACTGATCAACACCTCAATAACAAAAAGACAAACAATCCAATTAAAAAATGGGCAGAAGACATGAATAGACACTTCACCAAGGAGGATATTCAAG